GTTGTGTTCAGCAGTGCCAAAGCGTAGTATCCGTGCCACAGACCCCAGTGGTCACACACAGCTGCTGCGCAAGGTCCGGCCTGTGACTTTGGCTTTTGGGGACAGCTGAACGGCCTGGTGGTGTCCAGTCCATGTGAAGTGGTGTGATATTTGAAAATGCCTTAATAGAATACTATGGTGAGTTCAAAATATTATATAATCTTTGCATCTATTTTAAAATTATGTAACTCACCAATAAATTTTGAACAGGCAGTTATTAAATATAATTAAATTGCAGGCATTCACACAAGGGAACAAAGGGAGGCATTCCCAGGAAGTGAACAAGAGACTAGTGAGACAGCTCAAGAAAATTTCACTGGAGTGGGGGCTGGATTTTAATAGCTTTTTTTAAAGCCTTGGCTTCCAGAAGAACAATACAAGCATGCAGGAAACAGGCCATGCCTTTACAACAGTGACAGCTGCTTCCCATCCAGAGTTGCTTTGTCTGCCCCAAGATACACTTGTTTTAAGCAAGGAGTGCGCTTCTCCTACTGAGGCCATGTCTTGCTGTAGTTGGTCGGATTCCAGGTTCCTTTGGAACTTCCGTTTCAGAGAAAACTTTTGCTCACAAAAAGCATAGAGCATCCACACAGTGCCATTTACGGGCTTGCAACACCACATTCTGCCTGGGAGTGACATTCTCCTCTGTGACGGCCAGGTCCCCAGCGGCCCCTCCATTGGGTAGCACCAGCCCTTCACGGCCAGATCTCCTGTGAGGGAGGGACGTGCGCCCGGCATGCCCATCCGCCTCTGCACAGACCTGACCTGAAGACAGACCTCTCTCCCTCTTCTTAGAGCCACCAGCCCTGTTGGATTAGGACCTAGCCCCAGGACGTCCTTACCACCTAAAGCCTGGGGGCAGTGCGTCAACCCGGGGCCTTCGGGGCACAGCTCCCAGCTCCTGAAATAAGGAAGTGGTGGCTCCTGTCTCATGCCCAAGGTCCAGGTGGCTGTTGGGAATCAGCGCCGCTGACATAATTTATCTGGCAGATCTCTCCAGTCTCTCTCAAAGCAGAGGTTACCAGCTGATGACAAAAAACAGACCGACTTCATACTTTTGTATGTTGCATATTTATGAAAAATAGGCCAGATTTTGGCTGTTTTTAGACCTCTGAAGTCAAGTAGCCTTCACACTGCTGTCAGGATGGTAAATTGAGTTTGAAACAATAAAGTCAGTAAGAATGGTAACAAGCCGGGCGTGGTGGCACACACCTGTAATCCCAGCGCTAGAGAGCCTGAGGCAGGAGGATTGCCGTGAGTCCGAGGCCAGCTTGGGCTACATAGTGACCTCAGGGCCAGCCTGAACTACATAGCAAGACCCGTCTCAAAAAAAATCCCAAAAAACCCAAAATTGCTGGAGTTGCCCCTCTGCGTCCTTCACAGGTCATGTATCAAAATTAAGCCTCTACAGCAAAAAAATGGAAATAAAGTTTTTGTACATAGGATGGGGAGGGGCAGAATGGGATAAAATAAAATTTGTTTAAAAAATTAAGTGTCTCGTTTTCTATTTTACAGAAGATGAGCTCAGAAGTATGGGACCAATAGACGCTCAAATGTATCTTGAAGAAATGTCTTGGAATGAAGGTTGGTTTTTTTTCTTTTGGTATTATCTACTATGAAGACAAATATTAGAGATTTTTTTAATAAGGAAAAGAGCCCACAGGGTGTTGGGAAACCTTGAAAAGATCGTAGTAGCTTGGCTTTCCTTTTGTTTGGCTTGTTTTTGTTTAATTCTAAACTTCATTTATTGATGACCCCTCTGACTTATTTCAAGTTTTCTATTCTAATAAGATTTTCTATTCTAATAAGATTTTTTTCCATTTGTTTTTACTACTTTTGATTTTGCGTTACTCTCTGTAATGTGGTAAAGTCAAAGAATGATTTTTTCCATTTATTTTGTGTTGACTGTTGAGGTGAATTCATAGTAGAATTTTGGTTTAAAATTTTCTCTATATATGGAATCATAAACTGTCAGACAAGGGCTTTTAATGTTATGCTCTTCCACTGGGAGGCTTGATTTTTCCCTCTCACTTTTTGATGATGTCCTAAGAGGAAGAGGAAAATCTGTCCCTCCCCTTTATCATGAAATCTTGTCGTTTTCCCTTTTAAAGCTTTATTGAATCAGATTTAATTTTCACATTCTCTGGTGTTCCCTTAGTTACTCTGGGTGGATGGCACTGAGTTAGGAAAACACCTCTACATGGAAGCCATGCGGTTCTCCTTGCTTCTCTCAGTGGAGGAAGAAAATGCTACTGTTTCCTAGAAGTTTTGTACACTCAACTCTGTAACTTTATTGTTCAGCCTAAAGGTTTATAGAAGTTTGCTAATGAATATGGATGGGAGGGCTGGGGATTTAGCTCAGTGGTTCCGCCACCTACCTCGTAAGCACAAGGTCTGGAGTTTGATCCCCGGTACCAAAAAAAAAGAATATGGATGGGAGAAGATAAACAGAGCCATCCTTGAAACCCTTTACTTTATTAATGGTAAATTCTTAGTTTAGTGCTTTAAAAAAGTGAGTTATAAGCCACTTGGAAGGCACATTGTGCTTTCCTTATAGGGTTGTTCTGCCCTCATCCGCTCAGATGGAATCGTGGAGTAGAAATTCTTGTTTGCAGTTGCGTAATTGGGAACCTCGAGGTTCTGTATGACCAGGCTCTCTGTGGTGGTGACAGTCTTCTCAGACTCAGCGGGAGGAGCCCTGCCTGGCGGCCTGGACAGCAGTGACGGGCTTCCACGGCTGGCTGTGGAGGAACACACAGGACAGGCCTTTCATTAGAGACCTGAGCAACGAAATGGATTGTTTAAATCCATTTTTGAAGTTAATTACAATATAATTTTGAAATTTTATTTAAAATTGAAAATACAGGTTGGTGGTTCAAGCATCTGTTAGTAAATACACAGACCTTTGGATCCAAGTGAAAATACCAATATGAAGAAAATGTCCAGCAGGAAACATGAGGGTCGCCAGAAGCAGGGCTTTGTCCTGGGGCTCCCCAAGCCCCTCCTCATGGGGCAGAGCAGCAGAATCCAGGTCACAGCAGTGGATCTGCCGCAAGCAGACACGGTTTATCTTAAACACGTGGACCATCTCTGATGCTTATTTAAATGAAGGGCTTGCATGATGGTAGAGATGGAAATATCCTCATCCCCCTGAGATAAATACGGAGCAACAGTTCTTGAAGCCATTATTCTTGTAGGAATATTTAGAAACGAATCCTGCAAGCTTGGAACTAAAAATGCTTGCAGTTGGAAAGAGCCAGCTTAGCATATGAAATTAAATAAACAGTGTGATCAGCTGGACAAATGGAAGTGTTTATATTCCTTCGGGTTGTTTGCAGAATGACCTTGGCAGGTAAAGGCCCAGCAGAGAAGTTCTGACCCTCCGCCCGTGTGGTCTACGGCTAGGTTGCCAGCACTTGGGAGGCGTGCGCGGTGTCTGAGGCACTGGGGAAGGCTCTCCTCACTTGGCTGTCGGGGGGCTTCAGGCCTCGTGTTTGAACAGGCAATTTCTGTGAAGATACCACTTTGTTAATGCTGGATGGCAGCAGTGTAAGAAGAAATTTCCATGAGATGTGAATTCTTAGCATTAACTTTGGAATTATCAGCGACAATATCCACAGTAACCCATGTGTCCTCTGTGTCATTTACTAAGTACCTGTCACCTCCGATTTCTTCTCAGTGTTCACTGAAGTGGTAAGAAAACAAGAGGAGGAGATTTAGCCTAAGAAAATCAATGGTTAGAATATGTATATTTTTAGACAGTTTAACAGTAAAACAGTTCTCTTTGAAAATATGCTACAGCATGTGTGTTGGCCTAGACAGGAAGAGGTTTGTTTGCATTTCTGAATTCAAGGTTATTTTTCTTTATGGAGAATACAAAGCCAGATTGGTTGACTGGATTCATTGTTTTCTTTGATAAAAGAAGCAGGTACACTTGGCTTACCTAAGTGCTAGCTGTTTCAAGACTGAACTTGATAGAAAGCAAGTGCAGGGCAGTGGATTCCCCCTTCACATCTGTGTTCAGAGCGAAATGTTAATCAGGTTTAGGAATCAAGTGAAGATACCTGAGTGTAGGAAGTCCTGAGCCCTTCGAGATTTACTTCGTTTATCTGTAATAACAAATTCTGATAGTAATGGCATCGATACTATGATGAGTAAGTACTGTGAGAATTTTTGGCAGTTTCTTCCCAGAGACAGTGCAGTGGAAGGCTGGAGGGATGAGAGATTCTTTAGCGTCCAACCTCCCCGAGGAGAGCAGCCTGAAAAGCCCTGCCACTAGAAGAGCCGTGGCCCCACATGCCTCCTGTAGGTGTCTCATGCCAGGGACTTTCCTCTTGGCCCCTCTGACCTTTGTAAACACAGGCAGACAGCCATACAGACGTGTCCCGCAGCGATTCCCGGGGTCACATACTCCTGGACGGAAAGCAGCCAGGTGCCCAGCTTCGTCAGTCAGGCACGGTTCTCTGAGAGGGTGGAATCCAGGCCGAACGTCATGCCCCTTTCAGGCGAGACCTCTTTCTTCACTGTCGCATTTTACACAATTGTATTGTTGAGAAGAATGTAAAATGTGCAGAAGTCTCAAGATCGAAAACTTGAAGTAAATGCTGTTGGTTGCTTCTGAGCCCCCACCCCAGTTCCTCGGCCCATCTCCTGCGCACATAGATTCTTCTGTAGATGGGAATCTGTGCAGATACCGCCCCTATGCAAGAACTGTTTTCTGTACTTCCCCTTCCTGAGCTTTACTGAGCTGCTGCCTTTTGTCTTGCAATTTCTGTGGAATAAATTGTTTCTGAGGGTGTGAACAAAGTCACTGCTTGTAGGCATTTGAAGCATTATTTTGTTGTCTTTGCAGGCAATCGTTCTTTCTCTCTGAGCTGCCGATGTGGTGGCAGATATGTCGTTTCTGAGCAGGAGGCAGCAGCCACCAGCCTGGTTCCGTGCGACACGTGTTCGCTGATGGTGGAGCTCCTTCGCGACAACTAGCTGCGCAGTCACACTCTTGCCAGGAGAGGCCAACCGGAAGCCGCCACGGAGTAATAGGAAATGAACTTCGTCATAACGTGGGCTTAGAATTCATATTTACACATTGCCAAAGAAAAGACTTCAATTATAAATTGTATTTTGTGGATTGATGTCTGAGAACTTTTGTTTGCTCTTAGGAAAATAAGAACTTTCTTTTTCGAACGTGAGCATGTCTTCCCTTGTGTTGGGTCACAGTGCCACCGATTCCTTTACAGTGACTTGGGTTCTGATCGGCCAGAGCTGCTTCTGGCTGCTGAAGGCACAGGCCTGGTGGCCTCTCTGTGGATCCGAACCCCTGTGGGATGCGCAGAGCTGGTTCTCCGTGAGCAAGGCTGGGTGAGGGTGGCATGGGGCGGTTCCCAGTGGCTGGAGATCGGGCGGCAGCAGCTGGAGAAATGCAGCTCGGAGCCCTGGCTGCGAACAGTGCCATCCTCAGGTGTAACTCAGGGAGTGGAAGCTTAAAGAAGCAACCGGAAAAGGTGCTTCCCTTTGCCTACTCCAGAGCCTCAGGATCCGACCACAGTGCCTACGTTGGGGTTCCCTGGGATGAGGCACTGGACTTTGATGGTGTGGGCTGTGGACTGTGGCTTGCGAGGCATTGGTTCCCCCTTTTCCGATACAGTGCTGCCTCACTTGTCCCACAGCTCCATGCTTGGACTTTCTTGAACTTTCCACCATTTGAACAGCAAAGTTCGAAAAAAATCTCCTCGGTGCTTGTAACTTTGCTTGATGGTTGAACAAAAATCCAACTAGAAGAAACCTGTACGGGTGGAGAGTGAATCTTGGACTGCATTTCTCCTTGGACACAAAAGGGTGACGCTTCACTCAGCGCTGCTTTGGCCCAGCCCACAAACAGTGCTTCTGTTAGTACGTTACAACACCCGTCACTGTGCTTTTTCCGGCGTTATTTGCATAAAATATGATAACCATGGCCCCAAAGAAAGTGACAGCAGCAAAGCAAAGTGGAAAACTGAGAAACATGACAGAGTTAAAGAAATTGTGAAATTTGAATCAGGTCACTGCTTGTCTGATTTGGTAGCTGAATACAACATGGCTAAGTCGCCATTATCAACACTTCTAGAAAAAAATGTGATTAAAGCAGCCAATGTAGTAAAAGGTGTGAAAACGTTAACGGCGAAACGAAGAACCCAGGCCATCATAGAGGCTGAAAAGTTACCGTAAGGTCGGGTAAATGAGAAACTGGACGGCGACGGTGACAATTCGAGAAGGCCAAACACCTCCACAGTGATTCACTGACAGTGTTGCGGAGTGAGTGCTGAGCAGCCTCAAGTGTTCAAAGCCAGCTGTGGCTGGTTTGAAAAATTCAGAAAGAACAGGCACACACAGTAGAGTGAGACATGGGGAAGGAGGGAGCTCAAATACAGACAAAGCCGGTACCTGTGAGGCTAGACTTGCTGAGGAGTGACACTCAGCATCCACATATTCAGCAAGTATTCAGTGGGACAAACTAGACTCTGGGAAAGAAATGCCCAGTAGGAACTCATTCTGAAGCGGAAAAGGCACTGCCAGGCCACGAGCCTATGAGATAGGCTGGCTCTGTTGTTGGGGAACACGGGTGGGGACTGAAGTGAAGCCCGTGTTAGTGCACCATTCTGAAACCCATGGGTTTTTAAACAACAAAACAATAAAAAATAAGTGCGATGTGGAGGGTAAATAATGAAGTGTGGGGAGCAGACCGTTTTTCACTGAGTAGGTGTTTGGGCAGGAGAATTTGCCTGGAAACTCACTCCTCCTGACTGATGGTGCTCCTGCTAATCCTCCAGGCTTGGAGGGCGTTGGATGATAAATGCTCCTTTATCACTGTTAAGTTCTTGGCCCTTAATACACTCCTGTCATCCCGCATGGACCTGCAGGTCTTTGCTAATTTCACAAAACTCCACCAGGGGACTGTCGCCGCATGCTTGGAAATACCCTCCCACACAGGGGACCCTTCCAGAGTTCTGGCAGTCACGTTCGCATGCTCACTGCATTGCCCTTCTCCATAAGGCCTGGGGGAAGTCTCTACAAGACCCTGAATGCTGCACGGTCAAAGCTGTGGCCAGAAGCAGAGACTCTGAAGGCTCCGAGGGCTCTGAGGAGCAGCCTGGTGTGAAGCATGTTGTGCCTCGCAGGTGCCTGTGTCTGGAGGCTGATGACATGGAGGAGTCGGCAACCGAGCACAGTGCAAAGCTCGCCCCAGAAGAACGTCAGGGTCTTCAGGAGGAGCAGCGGTGTGTGGCAGCTGAGGGCATAGCCTGGGTGAGGAGGAGGGGCCCGAGGAGCTCCCCGCTCGTTGATAAAGAAGTGAATGCACCATGGGTGGAAATGGCCACCTCTGGACAGAACCACACACGGAAGGCCGTGACAGGACTGTGAGCCTCGCAAATGCAAATGCTGCCTCTCACTTCAGGAAGTTTGAAAAGGCAGAAGCAGGTGTTGGACAAATTTTTAGTGAGAAAAGATGAAAAAAAGACCGAGAGACAAGACCCAGAAAGGGTACTGCCAGGAGTCGCTGCAGAAGGAGACGCTCCTTCCAGAAGTAACATTTCTCCCTCTGATTTCTCTCCAGCTTCTGCTATGCCAGGAAGCCTCCAAGTCTCAGAGTGAAGCTCCTGGACAGATTTTCTTAAAATTTCACTTACTGTATCATTTTGGTATTTAATGTACCATATTTATGGTGTTCAGCTGTTTTAGGGATATTTCCACAACCAAGGGCTGTTTGTTTTGTGTAAAGTCCTGGAAAAATGAATTTTTAAGTGTAATTTTTGGGCCTCAGAACCCATTATTTGGTTTTTCACTTTTCTTATGGGGAAAAAAATGTATTCAGTTCTTTGAACTTTTCAGTGTTTGAACATGAATTTGGAACAAATTGAGTTTGACAACCGAGGTATCACTGAACTTGATGTTCTATGGTGTAAGGTAGAATTTATTTGAAGATCTTCACAGCATCCTTCCTGGGGTCTCTGAACTTCCCTACTTCAGATGAGCGAGCCATGCACGTTGCTCGGCAGGTCTTCATCAGATGCGTGCTCGGTGCTATCGGCTTGAATTCACGAGCAGAGCAGTTACACTGCCCTGAAAATGTAGCTGACAAATGTGGCACATTCAGAAAGAGTAGACCTTTTGCTTTGGCTTTACTGTACCTATCAAAGCAAAATTTAAAAGTGAAGTACTCATCCAGGTTCTCCTCCCAAAATGTTTGTATATCACCATAAAATTTAGATGGAAAACTTAACTTTGCCTTACATTTTTGTCCAGGTATTTTGAACTAATTTGCAGTGTGTTGCTTGTTCTTTATGTTTAAGCATTCAAAACAACAAAATAAATAACAAATCATTTATTGGTAAGGTAAGTACATGGTTTCCACTGTGGTCATAAATTCACTGGACCAGGAGACTCATCAGGTCAGAGGAATAAATGCTTGTCAGTTGTCAGAAAACCGGTGGCCATTGGGGCTGTCACGTAGAAATCCAAAGTCACTCAGAGGCCAGATCTGTAAAATCCACAGGAGGTGGAGATGGTTAATGAAGGTGATGCTGTACCCTCACCACATTCCCCTGTCCTCCTCCTCCTCCTTTCTCTGGGATTGATAACACTTCCTCCTTGCTCATACCCCATGAGTAAGTTTCGGGTGCAGAGTGACACTTTACAAAACATTTATGTATTTACACATACAAGAACGTGTGTGTGTGTGTGTGTGTGTGTGGTGTGGACATAAACGTATGAATCTGTGTGTCCGCAAGGAAGGTAACTGCACCTTTGACCCAAGATATCTAAGGGTAACATCGACGTATACAGGACCCTAGATTATCCCACTGCTGCAACTGGCTTCAAACTGTCCTTCCTGTCACTGGGCGGGGCAGCGAAGGCAGCTGCCTTCCCTAGCGCTGCACACTTGGCTGCATGGCCCAGGCTGCTCTGCTGCGGGTGCTCATGCACGTCTTTCCAGCTTGGTGCTGACAGGTGACAGACAGTGTGAGAGAGAATGAAGGTTTGGAGAACTAAGGAATCTGAGTTTTATTATAAAAATCCCTGCTCAGTCACCTGCCTCTGAGCGTGGAAGACAGCAGTAAGGTTTGGTGGTGAGCTGTCAAGTGAAGGCTGGTGTGTTCATGAAGTGTAGGTACTGCAACCAGAAGTCCCATGGGCCTGAAGATGGCATAGTTATTTCTGCAGCTGACAGTACAGCTGACGGTTCATCAGAAAACTGTACCTTAAAGAAGATGCGTCCTCTTATGAGTCCATACGGGATGGGGCCATAGAACCTGGAATCTGTGGAGTTCTGTAGATTGTCACCTTCTAACCAGACATGGCCCGTGGGCACCTACAGGTACAGGGAACAGCAGCCCCTTTAAAACAGATGACTGGGGCACCGTCACTCCAAAGGTAGTCATAAAATACATCCGAATCCTAAGATAGGCACTTAGCTTTCACTTCTTGCACAATAACATAACTTACTAAATGTCAAGGATTTTAAGTGTTTAAAAGACTTACCCATTATCATATAGCTCCCATTTATTTACTATCCAAATCCTGAACTGAGGTTCTAAGAGATCAACACAGTGTGTGTGACAGAGTCATTAATTTAATAGACATCAAAAGAGGTCATGAGGATGCTGACTGGAAATGTGCCCTCCTGTCTCAGAGACTGCATCAGCAGGGCAGCCCCTCCACGTCCTGGGGCCAGCTCCAGGGCCGCCCTCTTCGATGCTCCTGAAGAACTGGATGGTAATTGATCATGACACCAATTACACATAATCTCGTCATGCTAGTGGAGGGGCTTGTCAGAGTTCTCATTAAGAGCCAGCTCTGCCTTTGTACAGGCTGCATCTTCCTGCATTCCACTTTGATAATGACCATCCGGAACCACAAGGACCCATTATAAAATCATCAGTTGTATATTAATGATGGTGACCTTCCTAAATGGTAAGGCCCTATCTCACACGGCCATGTGTCAACTGGTAAATACGCTTAAATTCTTACTGACCATCATATTTAGGACAAAACGTTACTTTCAAAAAATGCCTTCTGCCATGCGAGCCTTTTGCCTGCTAGCATCGGTTTCATCATGTAAGCTTAAGCGATTACTCTCCAGCCACTGTGAAAGCTGCTCTCTCAAGTTTGCATTTTACAGCTTGTTACCCAAGAAAGTTGAGTTACCAACCGGACAGAATCGATCTATTGGGAAGGAATTTATTTTCACTCTGTTCAATAGCATTTAATAGGAGGCATGGACATTTCTTCCGTGTGATACATTACCTTTTTGAAAGATAAATGGATGCAAGCATATAAAATTTTATAAATTCCCTTTAAGAAATTAGGATTCTGTAATGTATCATGTAGAAATATTTGCCAAAATCCTCCAAGTTATTTCTTTGCACTTAAATCTATTTTATAGAGAAATATGTTTGCTGAAAGAATATCAGTGCCAGGCATGGTGCACACCTATAATCCCAGCATTCTGGGAGGCGGAGGCAGGACATTTGCTGGTGCAGCCCCATCTTGAGCAACCTACAACATGGCCCGACCCATCCTGCAATACAGAGTAAGGTGAGGGGAGCACTCTGGGAAGGCCCACGGGCAGTGCTCCCATTACCTCATCCTGCAGCCTCCCTTCCTTAGAGTGCACTTTCTCACACTACCGAGACACTCATCTGGGTGAGGGCTAAATTGTTTTTGTTTTGGAGACAGGGTCTCGCTATGTAGTTCAGGCTGGTTTTTGAACTCGCACAATCCCACCTCAGCCTCCTGAGTGCTGGGATGACAGGCATCCTAGAGATTTCTCATGTGAAGTGAGTGTTGGCATCACGAACTTGCGTCTCCAGCACATTGCCGGGGTTGTTTTACCCTTTCCCTACCACAGGCTCTAGAGAAGATCTGCCCGACTCGGCATGACCCCTGTGCACTAATGCAAAGGTGCACTGCAGTCCTAGATGCGCCTGGAGACTGGCAGGAGCACAGATGTTCTCCGGCAGGTAGGCAGGGCCCAGTAAAGTATGGTTGATTTATGTAAGACTGGCTCATCAAAGCAACACAAACTGAACTCATGGAGAGGGGTATACATGTTATAAATTCCCATTTTTATAATGATACAGTCTGTTAGCTAATGGACCTAACTGTGTGTATGTGTATAGACAGACACGTGTGCGCATCTTAAAATGCTTACTCTTTCCAGTGACTCCTGTACTTTTAAAAGATGGAACATGGAAACACTGCCATGATGATGAAGCTAGGAAACGCTTGGTTGAGTTTTGTATTGTTCTTCGTCTGGGCTTTGGCACGTAGACAGAGTGACCTCGCCCTCACCCATAAGGCAAGCTCTGCTGCCCTGCCGCTCTGCGCAGCACCAGTGAGTGAGTGACAGTCAGCAGCCTCGCCGCCAGGTGCCCACTGCTGAGGAGACTCGTGCAGCAGAAGGTTTGTGCCTTTACATGCAAAGCACAGCCACCTGCGGCTGGCGTCAGAAACGCAAAGCCTGATGTCAGTGAGGCAGAGGACAGAACAAAACACGGCGCCATCTGTTAGGTTGACCTACTGGCTATCTCGGAAGCAGAAAATTCAAACCAGATAAGGGAAAAAAATTTATGACTGGATAAGCTGGTAGATGCAAATGTATTTTTAAAGAAGCTATGGTGTCTTTACAACCAAGTGTGAAAAGTACTCCAGTTAACAACTGTTTTGCAAATGGTTTAAAATGGAAACCCCAGTTGTTACTTCTCATAATCACAACTGTCCTCAGGGCCGGGGACTTAGCTCAGTGGTTCCGGTGCCTGCTTCGAAAGCGCAAGGTCCTGAGTTTGATCCCTGGTACCAAAAAAAACCAAAACAAACACAACTGTCCTCAGTCTTATAGATCCGCCCTCCACCTTAAGGAGTGCAGACTGAATAAGAATACATAGATGTATGTTTTCAGTTAGTGCCACCGAGAAACTGGTTTCCTTTTGCTCAAATCTCAGTCTTCCGGTGCCTCAGACACAGCTGAGCCCCTGTGGGCTGAAGATGGAGCCACGTTGCTTCTCCCGCCCAGGTCTGAGGTCACCCCTGGGCGGTGGCAGACCTCACTGCAGGCTGTGGAGAAGCCAGCCTGCCTTCTCAGCTGCCTCACAGGCCAGCTGCGGACCCCCCCGCTGCAGTTACAGACACTCAGGGAAGAGGACCCCAGGACTGCTGCAGAAAGTGGTGGGAGTGGTGGGTAAGTGTGGTCCAAGCGACAGGAATACTATTTTGAGGGGGATTCATGGCAATGTGTCCTTTACTGTAATAAAAATTTTCAAATTTAAACATTCACTGTATAGTATTTTTCAATCATACCTCATTGCCTGAGAAAAAACTCATATGATAAATGCATATTCACAAAAATGACATTATTTTAGCAATAACTATATAATTGTTTGTTTTTTTGGTACTGGGGATAGAACTCGGGTCCTTGTGCTTGCAAGGCAGGGGCGGAACCACTGAGCTAAATCCCTGGCAACGTAATTGTTTTTAATGTTAGTATTTTCCAGGTAAGCAGTATCAAGTCAAATTACTACACCTATAAGTAGCTAATGCATATTCTGCCTAACCATAACCTACGTAAGTAAGATGTGGCCAGAATAAGATTCTATGCTCACTAACCATCAGAAAGAATATTTGGAAAGTGAAATAATTTGGTAATAGTAATGTTGTAAAAAAGTTCCACCAAACCCAATCTTTGTTTGACTCGGGGAACATCAATACTAGAAACATCATCAGGAAATAATTGGAGTATAACCTTCGAGCAGCACCAGCAAAAGCAAGGAACTGGGATATGTAGAAAAAGAGAAAAGTTACATCCCCGAGGCAGCAGTTAGAAGACCCTTGTAGCACAAAGGCCGGGAATGCTGGTAGTCTCTAACAAAACGGGAGTTCTGGCGGTGTGCTGTGGACCAGGCCCCGATGCCTCTACTCCTGACTCTGTCCTTGCCTCAAATCTCGCTCACATTCTGCCTCCGTGAGTTCAGCGACCAGGCAGTGCCACACTGGGCTCCTAGTGAGGTGCTTCCCAAGGCCAGGTGAGTGACAAAGGGGTCTCATTTCTAAGGACAGGGACAGAATGGCTCATGAACTGATGGGTCCCATGAGCACTACATCTACACGGGCTGCTGCTTTTTCTCCCAAGTCCTGCTTATTACTCTCCTATCCATATAGGATAAGACCATTACTCCCCTTCTCTACTTCAGAACAGGGCTGCCTGCCCAGTGTGGCTCACACCTGTAACCCCCCAGCAAGTTGGAGCCCAGCCTGGGTAATTTAGTGGCGCAGGGAGTCTCTGTCTCCAGAGTAAACAAATAGGGCCGAGAGCCTGGGCTCATGGGCAAGACCCAGCCCCCGAATCACAGTCCTGAGCTCCACATGCAGCTCTGCAACTTCCTAGCTGAACAGCCTCTTCTGCACGGTTCAGGAAGAGTGCCGGAAACCAATGAGCGCACCAGCTCCTGCCACTCAGAAAAGCAGACAGCAGCTGCCCACCTGCAGGCCCTCAGACTCCTGGCTCGCCTTGCCCCTGCTTCCTGAGGAGGGCCGCGCTCTGCAGCGTGACCTATGTGCCATGATTTGCCTGTGACCAGTTTTGGCTATTTCATACTGCATTCAGTGAATCAGCTGTAGTGCTAGCCAAGTGTTTGAACTAAATATGCTATAATTAATAATGCACATTAGCTGTGAATAAGAGCCAATGATTCACTGAAGTTCGGTCGTTAGTGAGAAAGACTACCGTTTTCTACTGTTACCAGGCAGCCCGATCAAGGCACGACCTGAATTCTTAGACCCTTCCTTACGAAGAAGTGTCCACTTCTCTGGATACCCTGCCCAAGGAGTGAGGAGGTGGAAGGCTGGGACAGAAGCCAGGATCTGGGCCTTCCAGGCACCCAGGACCACTGTCGTAGTCTCGGAACCGCGGGCCTTTCATCCTCCGCCTTCCTGTTCGGTGTGCAGATACGACACTGCTTGCTCTGGTTCGGGCTGGTATTTAAACGAGGCATTTTCTATTCCCATTGAAAGATTACGGAGGAATCTCCTCTCCTGCTGCCCTGTTACAGGCAGGATCCTAACTTCCTGCCACACAGGGCCTTTCAGGGGACAGTAGAATAGGGAGGCTAAGCGGTAAAACAGTGAGCTCTCTTGGGCTGTCAGAAAACGTTTGAAACAGTCGGTAAACCAGATGCATGCTGTGTAAAATATGTAGCTATGTTTCCACCAAAAATTTTATTTGTCCCTTCACATAATTCTGCCCCAAATCAAATCCCAACTCCTCCCCACATGGATTCATTGCTACCACAGATGAATCTGTCTGAGTTCTCTGAAGTCTATTGTCCCTGTGTGTACCCGCTTCCCGGAGTCAGGCTAGAAAAGATCTGTATCTGCAATGGTATGAGAAACAAGACCACCAGTAGAAAAGAGCCCCCCTACTTCAAAAAAAGAAACGATGAAAATTAAACACGTTGGTCTTTTTGTATGATATTACCAAAGGATTTTTTAAAAAGGCTTTGTTGCTTGTTTCTCTGTGACAGTCACTTGTATTTTATTCATCAAAACACAGCTCTAATGTTCCAAACCCTGCACATTATTTAGAATGAAACCCAGCTTTGTGAATACAGAATTACCAGTTAGGCAGGCAGATGACAGATGACATTTTCAGGTGACGCATGATAAAAGGAGAGTGAAGAGCTCTAGGATGGAGAGCCTAGTGCTGAGGGCAGAGATGCTGTTCCCATGAGGGGATCGAGGAAACCTCCTGTGGACGCCACGGAAGGAACTGCAGATACCTGGATGTCACTTCACAGAACTGCACCTGGACGCGGCCACATACTGGAACAGATTCAGTGGTCACTAACCTCAAATATAGTCTCTCAGGTGAGCTGGACGCTACACCTGTCTGAAATCCCTGTCTCCCCCCCACACGGCCGTTCTGCTGACTGCTCGCCCCGCTGCCGAAGCTAACTTGGGTGGTGCTCTTCAGCCATCCTAGTTCCCGCTCTCCCAACAGCCAGCCTTCCCGTGATAGTTCACTACTCGCTGCCGCAGTCTTGCTTCCTGCCCCTCTCACTGTTAGCCCCACTGTCTGTCGCCCCTGACTAACTGGGCTTCCTGCCCCAGGAGCTCTGCACGCCGTCGTTTCTGCCAGGAGGTCGGTAGTGGAGCGGCAGTTCCAGAGCCACGTCTCATCAGGTTACCCCCTGGCCGAGACAAGGGGGGGCGGGGGGGAGTGCGTTCCCTTCCCACCGTCCTCCCACCGCCCTGCCGCCTCCTGTGCACTGCCTGCTCCGGGCACTCTGCTCACCCTCTCCAGCCTCTGCCCAGGACTGTCCTCCAGGCGGGAAGATCCGTGTCTGCCCGGGCTGGGAAAAGCAGCTGTGCTTGGCCGACGTAGCTCCCTGTGCCTAGCTCGGTGCACCACAGCGCAGCCCGCGTCGGCTCCACACTGGCCACACGAGGTGTGCGCAGCACCGCAGCCGGGCCCCCAGGGGCCCAGACACAGCGTCCCACTGCCTGAAGTCTTGCGGGTCATCGCCGAGGGCAGACTGGGTCCACACTCGCAGTGCTCACTGTCACCGCAGGCTTCATACGTTCTGGAATGAATGAGGGCACGAGTGAGCCAAGTGGCAAAGCAGAGGGAGAGCCGTGGCCTGCTCCCTCAGCCCCTCAGGCCCACTGCAGTTCCCTCTCAAAGCCAGCCCATTAGAGAAGATGCCTCCATGCTGGGCTGGGGTCCGTCCCCAGGCCCACTCGACTTTCTTCAAGTAGGAAGGTCAGGGCAGACTTCCCCGCTTGCGGGTGACACAGGTCTCTCTCTGACACTTCTGATTTTAGGGTCTTATGTGCACCGATCTTGTGACACCTTGGACCTTGCCATTATGCACCTATAGCTCTAAGTACTTTCCTAAACATTCGCAGCTCAGTCTCCTTTCCGGTTGGCTGCTGGGTCTGGGGGCACAGGCCCAAGCTGTGCCACAGGAGTGACGTGTCGCGTGCTCCAACTTAGAGAACGCCCTCGAATGTCTGGGGCAGTACAGTGACTCGGAATGCCAGTATCTTCTTGCTCACTTAGCATCTGCAGCTGTTTACCTCCTGTTCCTCTGACCTTTTGAGACAGTGCCTCTAGCATTTCAGGCAGGTCTTGAAGGTACACTAGCCCTCCTGCTTCAGCCCCGAGTGCTGAGATTACAGGCGCCGCGCCACCCCCCGTGCCCAGCCTGCATACTCGCTTTTATATGTCACTGCCCTTTCCATTTTTCTTTTGAATGCAGAATAGCCTGGTATTGAGAAAATGCTTTCATCATCTAAGATGACGCGGGTCACATAAAGCCGTCAAGTTTTAGTTACCCAAAGTGGTAACAAGAATTTCACTGTGCTGCTTATACCAAGACTTATGAGCTCACTGTATCCGGTGAACAGCAGCTTCCCGGCAGGCCAAGGAAAGAGGACAGTGCCACACTAGAAAGCCGCACAGCTCCTGGAGTATCCTCCGTACACCAACAGAGCCTGGGGTTCCGTGCCAGGGTTCATACTGAGTGGCAGGATCACGCTTTCTTTCTTAACTCCTCCCAATTACTTTTAAGCACGTATGGAGGCCTCAGATAATGCGGGTAAAAATAAGTATTTACATTTTATTGAATTCTCTTTGGCCCCCTAGATTCACACCAGCAGCATCGACTTTCTGCTCTGCTTAAGGTATTCTTGCCTGAGCGACATTCACCAGTCTCAGGACGACCTGCTACACTGTGCCACCGAGATGTTCGTCTTCGTATGTACACACGTGTATTTTCAAATATGCGAAAACAAGCTGTGACCCTGCAGAACAAAACTACACAGTACCCGACCAAGCCCAGACTATGAGGGTGTTTGGAGGACAGGTCAGGAACGCAGGAGCCCGGGCGCTCGCTCACCTTTGGAGGGAAGCAGCATGGCCAGCCAGCAGCAGGGTGAATTCACTTCCTCCCAGCAGCGGCAATCAAAGCACTATGGGAGCAGGCTGACTATGCTGGGAGCCGTTGCTGAGAGACGGAAACAGACCGGGCTTTTATCACCAGTGTGCACAGAGCCAGCCCCTTGTTTAGATACCCCGTCCTAGTAAGTGACACGACAGGCAGTACTTCTGTTTAACTGACAGGAGGATTTAGGGTATCAGCAGCTGACCCCCAACACGCCCTTTCAACCTGAGCCCGCTCCCGGCACAGAAGTACCTCTCCTGTTTATCAGACAAGCGGTAACGGAAGGCCAGATGGCCTGACTTTCAGCTACGCTAAGCGACACTGAAACACAAGAACAGCACTAGGGACCTGGGACCTGGACTGCCTATGTACACAGTGCAATTAAAGACCTGTCAGTCTACCTGCAGAAGTGACTGTTTGCTCATGCTGTCTAGTTAGCAACATTGTTTTAAGGGCTGTCAGTAAGTTTTATTAAAGCATTTTCTAATAGTACAGCATAAAACAGCTGTATTACTAACACATTACTGTGTTTCCAAGATCTCTCGCAACAGCATACACCAACAGTGCACCAGAACACACTCAAGCAGTTCTTTCCAAAATGTAAACCTGTCTCGCTCGGTCTCTTACATTTCTGCCAGTAACCATGATATTAACATCTCTGTAATTTGCAAAGAAACAGGTAAGAAATACTGTGTTCTTTATTCACCTGCCACCGCCCTACGCTGGTAAGAGACTATTGTTTGGTGAACATTTCACCTTTGTCCATGACAGCGCTATCTGGTACTGAGGACAACCACAAAGCTTTAAATGGCTTGGCACGAAGAGCCTTGTGTTCCAGCCGGGTGTGGTGGCTGTGTGGTGGCACACAGCCGTGATCTGGGAGTGCCAGGCCAGCCCAGCCCAGCCCAGCCCAAACCTAACTCCTGAGATCAAGGCAACCTGGATACACCCTGAGACTGGCTTGGAAAACACACCCAGAAGCAAGCAGATATGCTTGAGAGCAGGGTCAACAGCCTGTTCTCCAGAGGGGTGGACAGTCAGCAGTTTCTGTCACAACTGTGGCACTGCCACAGTGAGACAGACCACACGAATGAGCAGGACCGCGTTCCAGCAAAGCCTGAGCTGCACGCACAGCTACAGCAAGGAGGGTGCGTGGGGCATTGTAGGCCACCGTGACCTACGGCCTTCAGGACAGAAACAGGAAGCCCCTGGGAGAGGGGAGCAGAAAGTGACAGGATGGGTACTGAAAAGCAGCAGCACCTGAAAGGAGCCCTTCACTGGCTGCGTGGAACAGGCCACTGGGAGAGGTGGAAAGCATGGAGAAGGGAAGGGACACGCAGAGCACCATTCAGAAGCCACTGCAGGAGACGGAGCTGGCAACGGTGTGAATGGGATTCTGCGTAGGAAGGGCAGTCAGGATCTCCTCACGGGCGGAAAGAAGAAGAGAGTCAAGGCTAATTCCACACATTATGGCCCAAACCTGAAGACACTTGCCTTTCCCAAGATTGGGCATGATGTGGAAGAGCTTGTTTAGCAAGAAACACTGGGATTTTTTGTCTGTTAACCACTCGTGGCACTATTAACTTGAAAGTAAGATGTGTGATCTGGAATGCAGGACGGAGACTGGGGTGATATAATTTAGGCGGGCAGTTCTGAAACATGAGGTAAGGCGAGGGGACTTGCGTGTAAGTGTACAGAGGCGGGGTGTAAGCTACGAGCTCTCCTCCTCCGGGGCCTAGGGTCACTCGAGAGGAGGTAGCACTCAGGCGACTGGGGGAGGAGGGTACACAGTGGATGTGGTGTCCTGAAGCCCGGAAGCTGGGCCTGAGGAACAGCTGTCCAGCACTAAGGCCATAGTGAGTGAGGACCCAGGATGGGCGGCGGGGGACCTCACAGCAGACCAGGATGTCTGCACTTCAGAGCGGTCACCACAGCAGGGGTGCGCTGCAGCTGGGAACTACAGCTCTGGGCCAGCAGCGGTCTCCTCGTGGAGACTGAGAAGGGGCCATGCGTGGTGGCACAAGTGGTGACACTCAGGGAGCGAGTGCCCTGGGCTCAGTCCCCAGTAACCACAACACAAAGAAAGGTAGGTGGATAAGGAAGTGTGAATTTGTCTTCTTTTCCTCATTAGCTTTATAACAAAATGTTACTATGCTGACTGGGTGCTGGCCCTGTATCCCTGAAGATAACGGACCCTAAATAAAATAGGGTTTTACTTTGTGTTCTGCCTACTGTGCAAGCCAACAGGAGAATGCCAATTCATATTATTTTCTATTTGTGAAGTGCTGCTACTTAAATCATCTTTTTTTTTTTTTTTGATAAAGTAGTGGCTTCCAGCAGAGAACTGAAGAATTTCTGTAGGACATGCAGAAATGCAGGGTATTCAAGATGTTTGAGCTGATTATCATTTCTTCTGAGTCACAAATTTAACTCATATCCTAGTAGTCAATGCTCAGCCCATAACTGAGGAAAGAATTACCTGCCTTAGGTGGGAACATCAAAGGAAGCAAAGCCACTGCAGTAGCACCTTGTTAGGGGCTTCTCAGTTTCCAAACATTTAATGTGAGAAATCTAGCTACAAGGGCTGCTTGCCATGTGATTTAAACTCTAGAATGAATAAACTGATTTCACATCACTTAACCAATGAACTGTTCATACCCTTTTATGCCAACTCACAAACAATGCTTTTCCTTTCATATGCTAACTCTATAGTCGAGGCTCCAAATGACAGTGTGGCGTTCTGCTTCCTGAAATACCTACGTACAAGATTAAACGTCTTTTGCCTGGAATTCAAAACACATTTCCTACTGATCATCTTCACTGTGCAGCTCAAGCGAGATCCAAGTAGCAGTGTCTTCATCTGTGGACTGCAGCAGCTTTCTAAAGGAGGCAGAGGAAAGGCGGAAGCCCGTTTCCTGCACTGCAGCCATGGCGTGCTCATGAGAGCTGGAAGGGGCGAGTTCTCCCCAGCCAGAGCTGCAGGCACCCGGGTGTCTTTTCAGAGAGCTCCACACCTGGACCAACTCGTGTTCTAAATCACCTTGATTAATGGGACACGTGTGCTAAAGTGGTGGGTTCTGTCATAGCTATACAATTCTTATGCTAGAATAACACTGCTGAAAAAACTGGCAAGGAGGAAAACCCTTCAAACGCGTGGGTTTCTCTGTCACAATCAATACTGTTCCTCATCAGAAGCAGCTGCCTTGTTCCCTAGAAGAACAAGCACTGTAAGTTTTCAGGGCCGTGCACAGGGGCGGAGAGGAGGCTGGGGGACTGTGGTGCAGAGCACGCCTGGAGCTGGGCCCAGGCCTCGGCCCCAACGCTTCCTGTCTCACCGTGTGCCGCCGGGTGACCGATGACCGATGCGATGCGACCTCTGTCATTCCTCACAGCGGAACCCTCCTCTTACCCGCCTGGGCGGGCTGCTACTTGAATCATCAATCCAGTCAGCCCCTCAGCGAGGTCCGGCAGCCAGAGGAAGTGCGCAGGTGCTCACTGCGTATTTGGGGCTGCGTCGGGCACTCAGCACAATGCCAGACCGCACAGAGTGGGACAGGCTCGCAAGGAGCCGGCCGTGTCCTCTGCCTGGTCCGCTTCTGACACACAGCACAATGGGTGGACATCTTCCTCAGGCAGAG